GGCAAACAAAGTGGGAAGAGGGCTGGGCAAATGCAAAAAGCAAGCTAAACTTGGGCGAAACGAAGACAAAGCGGCCACTTAAACAGAAATGGTAAAAGCAAAGAGAAGCGTGCCGGCGAAATGAGCGGGCTGAGTAAACTAAGCGCAGCTTTTGGCCAGAAATATCGCTGGCGATTTGTGGTCGAAGCCTGTCAATGTCAGAATAAACTAAATTAAACTGGAGAGCAGCGAAAACGTTTACTTTGGGGTAAGACTGCAATAGCAGGTCCAACATTATTGCACTGTCATTGTGGCTTGAGCACCCAAAGGATACGCTGCACGAACTGTATCTACTTTATGTACTAGATACGAAGCGTAAAGATTGTATCAGTTGATTTTAAAGGGCCATGAATACATTTTAAAGAGTAGATTCACTTTAAGGCAAATATACAGTAGAATATTTTAAGCTAGCGCAGTAGTAATTATGTAAATATGTTCCGAGCTCCGCTTTAGACGCATTAAAATAATTTTGCAGTCGGCAAATTAAAGTTCTTTAATATGCTTTAATATAATAATTCTTTCCACATCTGTTTCATAATGCAAACGCGTGTTCGTTGCCGGAAATGTCCTTGGGCAAAATGGTTTACTTTGGGATAAAGCTATAATGGCAAATTGAATAATATTGTACCGCCACAGTGCGTCAAGTATTTTCCCTTTGTTCTGTTCGCGTATCGCATTTTCGAACTCGAGCATTAAGAATTTCTCCGGCAGGCAGCCACTTAAGAACAATGAGGATGAAAGTCTACAGAATGGGAACCGATGAAAATACTTGAAATAAAGCCTCGACATCGACGACTCCTCAACGATTGCGGTCGGTTGGCCGGGTTGGACGGGTTGCCCGGGTTGCCAGGGGAAATGTGAGAAAAAAGTTAATTAAATAAATCAAGCAAGGCAAGTTCAATTGAATTGCAGCCGGGAAATGAGTGGGAAAATGTCAGGGCAGGACGAGGACACAGAATAGCAAAAAGGACTTCCCGTTGGGAGTCTTCGCTGGACACTCGTCGTCCAGGCCAAATGAACTGTGAACGGGGAAAAGTCGGGAAATTGGCAGACGGCGCGGAATATGCAAGAGGCGTCGCCGAGCGTCTGTCTTTTTTGTATGTTTGTTTGCTTGTTTGTTTGTAATTGCATTTAAAGCAAATAAACGTAATTATTTATTGCATTTCGCAGCACTCGACTCGACAAACGGACAAACGGACAAACAGACAATGCTCTCCCAGCTGGATGTACTGGAATCCTTGAATGCGATTCACTTAAATTCGTTTCTTTTGCCGCATGGATTTGTGCAAATACGCATATGTAATCGTATTTTAACAACCTGCAGCCAATCGATGAATGTACGCACTGACCGGCGGCCATTTGTCGTTTATAATCGCATTTTCAATTAAAATATTTAGTCAATTAATGCACGCAAATGTGAATCACATCACGTATACGTCATGTACAACGCAAACAAAAACACTCGCAATTTACGCTCAAATTACTCGACCGACAGCAGTAATTTATGTGTTGATTATCGAGGGCATTTTGGCGCTAGTTCAGTGCATTTATAGCAGTTCTAGTTTTCAGCGTCCTGCGGAAAAAAAAACACATCTAACATCAAATTGCATTTATCGCACTTAACACGCGAACCAAATAATGTTCATAGCCAAATGCATACGGTCGCAGTATATATGTACGTTTATGTGAAGCACTGTGTTTATATATTCGTGTTTATTTGGCGACAGCCGTTGTGATTGCACGTGACAGGCGACCAGATAGTCGGATGCGTATTCGCAGGACATCAGCTTAGCAAATGCATTTGTCAGCGAAATTGGCCAAGAAATTAGCAGAACATTCCCAGCTTTAATTGCTAATTAAGCGTACTATATTAAGCAATTGTTGAACATGTTGATATATATACATTTAGAATCTGCTGAAAAGTTTATTAGCAATATTTTTCTGTGAGCAAGTTGTTGAGATAAAATTCCAAAAAAACAGATGACAGTATTACAACTAAATAAATGAAAAGACTGTTCAGTTTAAATTGTAAATATCCAAACAATGTAAGTTGAATAGTTCACATGACAACCGAACAATATTCGGTATTTAAAAGTTTTGTAATCCAATTCGATATAACTCAATTTGCAAATGGTCTTTTATTCAAATGCGGAATTGGGAATTACACAATTTAAAAAATGCATGTAAATTAGTTTATTTTTGCAGCATGTTTTGTCAGGGTTTTGCATTACAAATCAATTATTGCCGGCCTGTCAGGATGGTGTTTCCAGCTGTCCATTCCCCCAACACCAAGCAGCCCTCAGCTTTTTGGCGCCCCCCTGTCAGTCACTCAGTTTCATGCAAATCACGTACGTTTGCATTTTGTCAAAATGCGTTTTGCACCTACAAAGGCAGACAGCAACAGCAAAAACAAATGCATTTATGCATATGTATGCCAGTGTGTCTGTGTGTGTGCATATATTTGTGTGGGTGATCCTAGTAGTGGCTTTGTGTGGGTGTGCGAGTGCAAATAATGACAGACAGCATAAACAAACACGCACATCAGACTCCGGCTGGCGTCTATGGCCACAGGGGCAACCTCAGCAGCGGAGGAGTGAAAGCCAGGATGCAGGACACGCCCACCAGCGTCCCTTCGTACTCCTACACCCACACACATACACTCTCTAAAACGATCAAGGAGAGGGGCTGGCTTTAAGCTTGCCACGTCACTTGATTCCGCATTTTGCACGTAACAGTCGAAGGGCCTTAAGAAGTACCGCTTGCACTTCAAAAATCGAGCGTTTTTCAATTTACCAAACAAGGATCAAGGGCGGTTTAAAGCTGTTTCCCTTTGCGTCCACCTAGAACAATTGGAATATTGGGTATGGACTTCGGGGGGTTGGAATCCTTTTAAAGCGAAGTGATCCTCAGCTTATTAAGATAATATTTCATTTGAAATTAAGCTGGCAGAATGAAACATCTTCATTTTGTTCAAGTGTATCTACTCAGCAACACAAGCACACACCATCACTTTGGCCATATGCATGCAACAATCATGTAGTTGTGCCAACTGAATTCATTAAAATTTATCATACGCACACACATGCACACACGCACGCATATCGTGTGGACAATTACTCGGACTTGGGTTATTCAATATAAGGCAGGACCTTTTTGGTCCTGATTGATGGTAACCCACTTAGCCAACTAATGAACTTTGCCACAGTCTTGGACCGTAAATTAAATTTCAAGTGCCCGACCAGGGTAAATATTTAATAATCAACTAGCATTTGGGCAATGTAAATAACACTTTACGTAGTGGCGAGATAAGGGCAGGACTCTATTCTGTTGTTGTTTTCGCTAGTTAAGCTAGCGTGCTGGAAAGTATGGAAGTTCGGAAAAAATTAAACAGAAACTGAAAAACAAGGACCAATCCCACCAACGCAACCAGGTCCTGTAGCAATCTTACTGGCAACGCTTGATGAAAGTAATCAAAAACTTCGCTGGTTGTTTGTGCAACTACTGCAGGCTAAATGGAATGGGGTTTCGGTAGAACTGTTTGTAAACCATAATTGCGCGCAAAAGTAGCTAACAGGCAGCAGGCAGCAGGCAGGTGAGCAAAATAACTGCTACCTGGCAGTCAGCTAAAAATTTCATGAGAAAAATTTAATATACACCCGCGATTCCCGTTTCGGAAATGGCGAAAACTCTGAACTCGCACAATAATCAGTAAAAAGAACACACTGCCAACTAGTGCGAACAGCCAAAGGGAAAGCTTCTTTAGTTACGCGCAGCACAATTATGAGTAATATTTTCTACCGCTCCTACCGCTTCCACCGCTTTTCCACCCACTTTTCCGCATTTCAAGTACCACTTTGGAGTTCAACCTATGCGAAAAGCTTGCACCAAATGAGTTTTATTCTCGAGTATGTCATGGAGTAGACCGGAAGCCGAAAAAGAAACCCCAGGTGCAGCTGCTGCTGCCGGGTTTTCTTTGAGCGTGAAGCCAACCAAAAAGGTGTTGAACTGAACTCAAGCAAAAGTGGAACTTGTCGATGGCAATGGGTAGAAGGAAAGTTTCCATTCTTTTATTTGTCGCTGGGCCGGCGCGGGAAAAAAGCCATAGAAAAATCGCTTGATGATTTGCGAAAGGTTGTTAAGGCGGTCAGGTGAAACTTTGGGGTACTATAAAAATTGAATGGGACTTAAAAGTTGGAGAAGCGCATAGAAGGCATTAAAATTTTAGTGCTTGTTTTTGCGTGAGCTAACCGAAAATCGAAATGAAAATCACCTTAAATCTCCTCCACCAAAAAACATGGCTTCCCGTTTACTAGGAAAAGGGGTTGGCTTTCCACATATGTATATATTTTTCAATTTACACACACCCTTTATTTTTGTGATTTTTTTTTTACTTTCGGCCAGCCACACACCTGTTTTAATTTAATTTGCAGCATATTGAAAACAATTCGCCTCGCTGGCTCCCTCGTAAACCACTTGAAAATGAACAAAAAATCCAATCAAACACGGCGCACAACAAAACGCTTTTCCACATTCATGGCCCACAAAAAGTGAGCACAACCGAGCAGACATGAAGTGCATTTCCGCCATCGACGCCACTTGAACACAAAAAGAGCTCGCCAAATGGCCACGAAAAAATTGGGTTGAAGGACGAGATTGCCAAAAACCAGTTTTGAACCAGCCAATAACACCTGACTCGCATTGTCATGCCTTGAAAACTAAATCTAGATAAAATTAGATAGTTACTCTACCAGATCACAATCGATACAATATCGCTTCAAGTCAAAACTTTGATATGGTACACATAGGGGAATTGTATTTCAAGCTCCAAACAAACCAATCAAATCTTCAGTAATGTCCCACAAAACACAATCAAGCCACAATTTTAATCGCATTGCATTCTGGTCAAAGGGTCACTGGTCACTGGTCACTCTTTGATTCATTCGATTTCATCCGGTACTCACCCATTAAACACGCCCGTATCGACATAATGCGTGTAGTAGAAAATGCTAACCACCGTAATGGCCAGGAGCGCCAGGACACATCGTCGAACGTTGATGCCGAAGCAGCGACGTGCAATTAAATTACAACAATGGCACATCCAACCGGGTGGCTCGGAGCCGCCGATTCCACCGCCACCACTGGCCAGGTGGCAGTTGCTACTGCTACCGCTGGCGATGCCAATTGACGTTGATGAGGTAGGACTGCCGTTGAAATCCAGACTGATACTCCCGATGCTCCCGTTCCCATTTCCATTTCCACTTGCATTTCCATTCGATTTACCCTTGTACGTGACAATGCCGGCGGCGGTGGTGACATCGTCCTCCAAAGGCAGCAGCATTGTGCGATCCGTGATGGCATGACCATTGCCGAAATGCTTATTGAAATTGCTAAAGTCCTGGCCAACAGCATTCGCATCCGCGTCCGCATCTCGGCAGGAATCCACTTCCGTTTGGGTGCCGGTCACGGAGCTACCAAATTGCATCTGCGGCTGCTTAATGAGTTTGCGATTTGCATTGTTATTATGTTGATTGCCGCCCGATATTGTCATATTGTCGTTGCTCTGCCTCGGTGGTACTCTCTATATATTATATCTGTATAATTGGCGATATGTGGTATGATACCTATATTGACTAAACAGAGCGAACGAATGGCAAACACTCGCGATTCACTATGGCACTTCGATTCTGTTGCATGAATATTGAATGTTTATTCTCCAGTTGTCCAGTCCAGTTTACTATATAAATATGTATATGTTATATGTTCTTTCGCATAAATCTCTTGTTTTTATAATATTCAGTTCGCTTTGTTTACTTTTCATTTCGCCACTTGATATGTTTCCAAATTTTCAAATACTCATGTTGCTTGGCCATTGTGGCGCACTGTTGTTGCAATTGTGGTTTCGGACAGGGTAGACGGCCATTATCGGTCATATAAGGACGGAAGAGACCCAGTTCCAGACACTCCACTCACTATCAGACATTGACTGCAGTTCCAGTGGGTCGTCCTCTTATCTGCAAAGCAAACAAAATTGAAAACGTAACAATTAAATAGTTGCCATCGAAGAAAACAGTGAGTTTTATGTTGCTATCAGCTAAGATAATTGTGTCTTTTTTTACACATAAGCTTTTTAATCTAATCAGGTCAAGAAGTTGTTAGCTGGGAGATTGTAGTGCACAAAATTTATAACTAAAATATGATACTGATAAATAAATTGTAAATAGTCTTAAGCTCCTAGATAATAATGATTTGAGTATCAACAATAATTTAAATACAATGGCAATTTAAAGTTCACATCATCGTGTTACAATTATGTATCAAATAGTTTGTCATAACTTCAGCTCAATAAGTTTCCCTGCCGTTTATTTGCTACTTTAATTCGATTGTGGTACACTTCGTTGTCAGCCCTTTTCAATTATATGTGTCACATTTTATCGATAATCGTTATCACAACTAATTGATGGTGGCATTTCGGTGGCCCTGCCTTGGCGCCAAGCACTTTAGTTTTAGTTCCCCTATTTTTCGGTGTAAGGTTACACAAAAATGTGGGTTCCTTACTGTTTACCAACCAAACTTGTCAATTTGTTGGCGCGGGCTCCTCAAATGGAATGTAAACAAAATGCTAAGGAAGCCGCAAATAAAGCGACAAATTGCCAAAACCGTAATTCGGTACATAGATACGAATATATCTCGAGGTCTACCCTGAATTGTCCTTGTGAGTGTGTGCTTAGCCATTAAGTGCATATGCCTGCCGCAGTTTACAAAGGTCTTAATGGCCCTACACGTACATATATCTATATATAAGCAATCCCCAACTTATTTGTGGGGTACAGTGTTCAGTTTAATTGGAAATGGCTGCCGGCTGTCAACGAAAAATAAAGACAACATACTTCGGGGCGCTTTATGGCCCAGCGAAATGAGTCAATAATGAGTTTTAGATGGCCAACAATGTTTGTCATGATGTTATGTCCTCGATAAACATACTCCAACATGTGTTCCCCGATACCACAATAGATAAATGCCTATTTATGTGCCTTTTCGGGGGTGGATAACTAGGAAATTCAAGCAATAGCTTTAATGACTTGAAGTAATGGGAAAAGTATATCAAAATCTAAGCATTTAGAAAGACAATCAAGTAAAAATAATCTATTCTACATTTTGAAGAGATATTGTCATCAGGGTGCAATTGGATCACTTTAACATCGCCAAAAATTCAAACAAATCTATCTTGTGCAGAAGTGCAGCAGAGAAAGTAAAACCCTTTCACTTGAAAATACTTTTCAATTTCTACGCTCAACTTCGAACTTCATTTCACTTCATAAGCAAACCGCTTGCCCTCGATCTCGACAAACACTTAAAGCAATTTATAAACTGGAGTCTTGCAAAAGGAGTCGCTACAGGAATTACAGCAGAAAGCGGAGTTCCAACATCCAGGCATTCTCTGCCCTTGTTTTCCTCAGCATGTTACAAATTTATCATTAAAATGTCAAAACTTAAATTGATTCAAAAAGTTTAGGAGCTGCAGCAGCAGCAGTGACAATGCTGCCACGCCCCCGTGACCCCGCTTCTCATTGCAGCAGTAGTAGAAGCAAAACTCAAGCAGAAGCTAAAAGAAAAAGTTGGGGCTGTTGTCGGGAAAGCTTTTGCTCAGGGTTTTTCCTACTTCTTTTCTTATTCTGATGATGCCGCATACTTTAAGGCGCTCTGGCACAAAAACTTTCTGCGCGTTCTTCGTTAGGCAAACTTGTTTAATTTCCTCTTCAATTGCCCGGGAAACCAAGCGAAACAAACCAAAAGTTGTCCTGCCCCCGAGTCTATCTGTGTCTTTCACTTGGGTTTTCTTTTTTGGGGTTTTTTCTAAAGTTTTACATTCAATTGTTATTTGTTAGCTGGTGATTTGCTCGTCATACAGTGTCGAGAATCTACCCTAAAGATACGCCATACACAGCTAAGATAAGAAATAAACCACCTAACTCTAACTTTTATTTGAAAAACAAGATAGAATGCAATAGTCAAGTTGCCCGATATCCGTTACTCAGCGAGAAATTTAAAAACTTTCTGGAAATTTCCTAGACTAATAAATAATTAAAAAAAATATCACATTTTTCAAAAATGCCACTTTAAAATCCGATTAAGATAGGTCGAGCTATGGACTTCAGTCTTTGAACATTTTTGAATTTCTACATCATAACATTAGAAAAACTACAAAAAAAATTAGAAAAAAAAAATTTCCAAATTTCAATGCAGATTTTTAGAGAATTCCTCCAGAAACATTTAGAGGTATGCCACTTCAAAATCCGATTAAGATAAGTTGAGTTATGGAGTTTAGAACTTCAGCCTTGGGACGTTTTTTAATTTTTTTTTAATTTTTACAACATTATCACATCAAGAAAATTACAAAAAAATTTTAGAACAATAAAATTTCCAAATTTCAATGCAGATTTTTAGAGAATTGCGCCAGAAACATTTAGAGGTATGCCACTTCAAAATCCGATTAAGATAAGTTGAGTTATGGAGTTTAGAACTTCAGCCTTGGGACGTTTTTTAATGTTTTTTAATTTCCGCAACATCATACATCAGAAAAATGACAAAAAAATTAAAAAAAAATAAATTTTTAAATTTGAATGCAGATTTGTAGAGAATTGCGCCAGAAACATTTAGAGGTATGCCACTTCAAAATCCGATTAAGATAAGTTGAGTTATGGAGTTTAGAACTTCAGCCTTGGGACGTTTTTTAATGTTTATTAATTTCCGCAACATCATACATCAGAAAAATGACAAAAAAATTAAAAAAAAATAAATTTTTAAATTTGAATGCAGATTTGTAGAGAATTGCGCCAAAAACATTTAGAGGTATGCCACTTCAAAATCCGATTAAGATAAGTTGAGTTATGGAGTTTAGAACTTCAGCCTTGGGACGTTTTTTAATGTTTATTAATTTCCGCAACATCATACATCAGAAAAATGACAAAAAAATTAAAAAAAAATAAATTTTTAAATTTGAATGCAGATTTGTAGAGAATTGCGCCAAAAACATTTAGAGGTATGCCACTTCAAAATCCGATTAAGATAAGTTGAGTTATGGAGTTTAGAACTTCAGCCTTGGGACGTTTTTTAATGTTTATTAATTTCCGCAACATCATACATCAGAAAAATGACAAAAAAATTAAAAAAAAATAAATTTTTAAATTTGAATGCAGATTTGTAGAGAATTGCGCCAGAAACATTTAGAGGTATGCCACTTCAAAATCCGATTAAGATAAGTTGAGTTATGGAGTTTAGAACTTCAGCCTTAGGACGCTTTTTAATTCTTTTGAATTTCTACAACATCATCACATCAAGAAAATTATAAAAAATTGTTAGAAAAATAAATTTCTAAATTTGAATGCATATTTTTAGAGAATTGCGCCAGAAACATTTAGAGGTATGAGTAATTCGTAATTCAAACTCATTTTAAACATTTTTTTCCATCTCGAAGCTGCTGTCACTTCCTAATATCCAGATAATCGCACATGTTTTACACAGTTTATTCGAATTAGCAGTGTGAGTTCTTGAAAGTGTTTTATGCTTACTCTGAAACCATAATGGGAAGGGGAGAAAACAATTTCAAGTTTTCACACCTTTTCCTTGGGATCTCTTTCCCCAGCTTGAAGAACGATATTAAAAACTATTTATTTTACGATACATTTTGTTTACATTCCTCGAGGTGGAGCGGCGATGCGCAGCTCCCTCAGCATATTTTTTCCTAAATTGCATTGAGGCGTGTGGCAAGCAGCGGTAGCATCAACATTGGGTAGCACAATGAAGGGCACCCCCGAGATGCCACCCCCTCGAAAACCCCCCCGTTGTATTTGGCCCTTTTGGCTGCCTTTTGTGCTGGCCATTTATCAGTCAGCGAATGTTTGTTGTGGCTTTGTTTCCTCCACCCCAACTTCTGTAGCATTTTCTTTATTTTTCCAGCTCTTGTTAGTTTTTCGCGCATTCATGCCAGCACCCCCTTTAAAACCGCCTGTCAATGCCCAGCATATTGATAATCGTTTTCAATTTGTGTTCGGCAATAAAACAAAACAAAAAAGAAATGAAATCAATTGTCTTTAGTAAATTGAATGCAGGCTACAATAAATGTGTACAAAAACAAACAGACATGCAATGGAAAAAAGTCTGGACAAATGACTTTGGCTTTAACCAAACTGACAAGGCAAGACCTCAAGTCTGAATACTCCGGTTTCTGTTGCTGTCTGGTTATTATTTTGACTGATGAATGTGACTTTAGCGTTTCCATTACATGACGCCATGCCTGATTGCCTTTCCCATATAGATTTCTCCCCTTTTTCCATGCCAGATGCGTGGGCATAGAGTTTACAACTCCCCCACACTAGCCGAAAAATAAAAGAGAATGTGTTGTGTATATACCTATAAACAAATTTGTATCTTAATGAGTTTTTCACACTTTAGCGCCTTTCGGTTTCGTGTGCGTCTTTGCATTGGAATTTCCATCGTCTAATGTTCTTTCAATGTTCTTTAAATGTTCTGTGTGAGTCTCTTCATTATTAATGTTGCCATAAATCAGTTAGGCAAGACAATTAAATTGACACATTTTGTATATTTGAGGGTTGTTCTTAGATTTTTGGTTTTTGTTCAATCTAACAGATTAATAGCCTGACTGGGAGTGATTTGAGGCTTATAGAGTGACTTTCTAATTTAGTACACTATTTTAAATGAAAATTCCATTTACTTCTAGGCAAATATTCAATTGCAAATACAACGAAAATTGTGTATTGGATGCAAATAATTGTTATTTGTACTCTGCCTCGGTTTGCAAAAGCAATTAAATGCTATTTAAAAGGAAATAAATAGATTTTTATAGGTGGGCTATCAATTTTCCCTTAGCTTTATATACTATTTGCTTTCAATTTCATAACAAGAAGTGCACTCAGGAGCTCTCTTTTATTTACGTATAAAAATCATAATTTCTCTCTGCCGTAGTTGTGCTTTATCTAATATTTAATAAAGT